CTAATAATCGTAAATGAAAGCCTTGTCTCAGACCCACTCCTACCACACTATGGACGTCGATCAAGAGCTGCGCCCGTCGCTCATCATTACACAGTTGTCATGAAATTTTGCCCCCCCTCCCCGGAATTGGCTCAGCCTACGGCCCTGATTACGCTGTACTGCCGCATGTATCTGGTAGCTCGCTCGTTCTCTCACCGCCACGGCGGACGCTACTGCTACTGTTGCGCCGAATTCTGCTCGTGTCAACATCGATGTTCGGCGCTTTTTTGTCTAGCAAGTTTTTGCGCTCATCGTATAATGCTGCAAAGTTCTGGCGTTTGACCAGAAAATTCAAGACGCGAAGAAGTTGATAAACGTGGTGTTGCATGACGGGGGCAGGCAGCGGCAGGAGAGGTAGCGGTGGTGAGCGGGGGTGGGCGAGCGGGAGGGTAGGCGAGGTTGTAGGTGGGATAGCGAGCGAGTGGGCGTGGGTAGGCGGGGGTTTTCTAGCGGGCGGGGTTGTGGGTGGGGGTCAACGAAGGGCTGACGGCAATATGACGTTGGTACGCGCACAACGGGCATTTTATCCGAATTCGTTAATAGCACGGGTATCGGGTTACTCACAAGTACACAAAATATAGAAAATACTCGACACGTTGAAAAAGTAAAACTTAAACGCGCTTTGACGAAAGCACACTGAAATGCTGCCAACGTCGTTAAAATCCCGCATCGGCAAAATCCCCTCAAATGCGCCCTCCTTATATGAACACAGAATTAGTCATCGTCAACGTCATCGGCGCTGCGGCTGCTGATCAGCCATGTTTGTCCACTGAGACTCTATATGTCGATTGAATTAGTTACATCAAGAGAATCGAAATCTTGGGTGTGTGTGCATATTCGTTGGTATCGTCATCGTCGTCACCGCTACGTGGGCAAATATTTAGAGACGTGCCTATATACTAAGCTTCGATATGTACCACGGATTCACTATCGTTACGATAGCTAATTATCCACAGATCCGCCTACAGAAACTATATTTTCGCGAGGTCGGCTATCGTCATCGTCATCGTCATCGTCATCATCATCGTCACTGCCGCCACGCTGACGCTAACCAAAGTGCTCGTCTGCTGAGACCGTATATGTAGCGGAGCGGCGGTGACTTGGCATTGTTGCTGCTGCCGTGGAAATAACTGCACGCTGGTCCGTAAATACAATATGTGTGTGTGCGTACGCGCACGTGCGCGCGTGTGTGTCTGTCTGTCTGTGTGTCAATTCTATCCGTTTACACGAACAAATGCGGAATGTCGGCTCCTGCATACGACGACTGGAATTAAATTCCGTTCAAAAACATTTATGGTTATTGCAACCATATATATATATATATATATATATATAATATTGATACCCTTACTCGTGTTGAACAGAGGGACTGTACAGAAGCAAGACCTGTAGAGAATCAGCAGAGGCGAGCATTAAGTCGAGATAAAGATGGCGGGGTCGCCCGGCCGCGTCCCAACATCCTCACCACCGACTTCGAAGAGTCGCTTCCCGAGGGATACTACCCGGATGTGACGTCAGACACCGAGACGTCCTTTGATCAGAGCCTACCGGGAGAAGAGGGAACGAGCGAGGGGGGTGCGGCGGATGCAGACTACCTAGTAAATTACTGGAAGGATAAGGAGGAGGAGGAGGAAGACGCTGAGGAAGAAGATGGAGTTCAGGAGCAGCTGAATCTCTATTCTGGAATACGGATGAAACTGCCAGGAGATGACGGTAGGAAATGTTCGCTTGCATCCCACCTGCGTGTAAAATACGGAAGTTACTGCTCATTCACATGCCTATATGTTTATATAAATATAAAATATATATCTATATATAGATATGTATATATAAAAATATAAATATGTAAATAAATATAATATATATATACGATAATAATATATATTTATATATATACAACTGTCATACATACATATTATATATACATATACACACACACACAAACGCACGCACGCACGCACGCACGCACACACGCACGCACGCACATACGCACGCTCGCACGCTTGGCAAACATACGACAATTATTACCCCAACCTTTAATTATTGCAACCCATTGCAGACTACCCGACCGATGGAGGGTTAAAGAGCGCCATGCTGGAAGCTGAGGCTAGTGCTCTTCCCACGTCGTCCTGCGTCGACACTGAAGTATTCGTCATCGTTATACTCGTGCTAGCAGGTGCGTACACGACCCCGGTCTCCAGTACAACACGGGAGAGAGAGAGAGAGCGCGCGCGAGAGAGAGAGAGAGAGAGAGAGAGAGAGAGAGGGAGAGAATGAGATATGAATGAAACATGCGATGATGCTTGTTCTGGTTATAAAAATCTTCCGGCATTTTGCTTTGCGGCTTTAGTGCGTTATAATCGAGTTTGATTCTCGAGCAGGGAAGCCATTATAATAACACGCGCGTTTTCTCCTCGATAGCCAGGCGCCTCTAAATCCGCGGCAATTTTCCTGCTGATGCCGCCATGCATTCCATACATGAGAGATCTTCTGATTAAGCTATAGCTTGAATATTAAACTAAGCGTCCAGAAAAAGGTTGATGCATACTCCAGTATGTACCCTGTCGATATAGGTTATCAATTTCGACTGGTACTTTTTCTAAACGACAGATGGCGTTAGTAGGTATGGACGAGCATGCAGACATACATATTAGGTTCGGCATGCAAAGATTCTGCTCATTAAACGTGTGCTAAGCGTGACGTCAGTGTACAGCGCGAGAATGGTAGTATGTCCACGAAAGAGATAGAAACCTCGTTAGAGTCACGCGAAAGAGTTGGGAATATGCGGTTATAGCGTTAACAGAGCTCTGTAGACCTAGAAACCTTGAGGCTTTCAACCACCGTGCAAGGTCCTGTGTGCGGCAGTGGCTAGGTCGAGTGTAGTGTAGTGACCCGAGATAAAGAAGAAGAAGAAGAAGAAGAAGAAGAAGAAGAAGAAGAAGAAGAAGAAGAGGAAGCTATCGTGTGTCCGTGTTTATAATTCTATTCTATATTATCATCGGTTAGTGAATATTACCGTCCGTCATTTTGCAGCCATCCTTGTCGCCACCATCGTCATCATCGCCATCACCTGCATCAAACTGCACATAATGGCTCAGAAGAAATACCAATACCAGCCGAGCCCTCCCGTCAACGGTCTGGACCTTTGCTCAACCATATCGACGCCTGTGATCGGTGGACGTCGTCACGATGCAAGCAGTTACTTCCGGCCGTGGAATGTTCCGACGGTTCCGCTACATGCTGACGCCGTACGCGCAGGCACGATGGGTAATATGAACGTAAAGTATAGCATACGCAACGCCACCAGCGGCCAGAGTCATTCGTGAGCGACTCATAGCTTGGCTCGTAGCAGTGCGGAGACGATGCCCTCTAGTGGAGACGATCAAAAATATACGTAGCTAAATTTAGCAGGCGGTGGGTTACGGTGATGCCGACGATGGTGTTCCGGATGAAAATGGCATATATACGGATGCCGGAACATGCGCGTGCGTGCATGTATGCGTGCATGTATAGGCCCTACGTGTGCGCGCGTGCCTGTGTGCCCGCGTGTACTTGTGCGCGCGTGCATGTGTGCGTGCGTGGCAGTATATTCGCGTGTCTGTAATTATATGATGTTTTTGTAAACATATTGAGGAAATAGAAAACTATCGCAGACATAATATGTGCGGTCTGATTTATAAAAAGTAAATATATATATATATTTCTACGTGTACAGTCATGGTATGGCCTATAAAATACTAAGAATATAGAATATAAGTTAAGAGAAAACAATTGCAATATTTATAAAGCATATAAATAACTTAATGATATGCGAATTAAAATTAATTAATTTTTCTAATATACATGGTGCTATAAAGTATTGCATCATAAATGCCATCATCACATTTAAAGACGCTCAGTGCTTTTCTCGTGTATTTTTTAACTTAGTTTCTTCAATATAACTAGAACGATTACCGGTAATTTTGTATATAAGTGTTATACTATAAGCTCATGTTCGTATAAATAAAGCTACACTAACACCCTTTAGGCGTTTGTGGCGTTTTGGTAGCATATGAAGCGTGAAGATTGCTCTAAAGGATTATGCGATTACATACGCGGGTTGCATCAAAACATTCTATGATGATGACATATGTGTTTCTCTCATCTAATAACAGATGGCGCTAAGTTATTCTGTTGAATGGTCCGAGGGTTCCCTCTTGGTATATAGGAGGCGTATACCAGTAAGCCTATTTTGTTTCTAGAAAAGGCCTTTTTGGGCATTTTTTCGCAGAAATTCGGCACTAGAGTGCAATAATTTGCATTATGCACGCAAGTTAGATGCCTCGTGGAAGTAAAATTGGTCTGTTGTGTATTCGTGACATTCCGTCAGGTGGCGTAGCCGCAGCGAGCGGTTGGTCATGTGTGTCTTTGAAATGTGTTCAGACAACTTTGCAGAAATTCGCATCATAGAGCTGGCAAAAGTTTCGAACGGAGCATAGAGCATGAATCTGTAGTTATTTAACATGAATAAAGTGTATGTTGTGTAAGCGCAGTAACAGTGTGACTGTGAGTATTTTTAATTAATTTTTGTTCGATGCTTATTCAGGCCTGCAGCCTATGGACGCCCTCTACTGTTGTTCAACACCTATATCGAATATTAAAATAGCGCTGGTAATATTCGAGAGCTGTACGTTCGATCGACCGTGATATAGACTGATGCTAGATATTGTTGACATGTTTACTGAGGTCGTGTGGTGAGCCAAAATGCAATTATGTATTAAATCTAATACGAATAACTTCTCGCATCCGCAAGGCTGCTTGTAATAAAAATGTGTATTTATCCAGACTGAGTTTGGTGTTACGGTATTCTCTCTCTCTCTCGCTCTCTCTCTCTCGCTCTCCACGGGGCCTTTCTGGCGGGCCCGGGGTTGTGGGTGGGTCAACGGAAGGCTGACGGCAATATGACCGTCGCTTTCGTCGGGCGCGCACGGGCATTTTTATACTAATTTCCGAATTCCGTTTAATTAGGCAACGGGTATCGGGGTTACTCACGAAGTACACAAAATATAGAAAAATACTTCGACATACGGTTGAAAAAGTAAAAACTTAAAAACAGCGCTTCGAACGGAAAGCAAAACAACTAAAAAATGCTGGCCAACGTCGTTTAAAATCCGGCATACCGGCCAAAATCCCCTATCAAATGCGCGTCCTCCCTATATGAACACAGAATTAGTCATCGTCAACGAGGGAAGAATGGGCCGTCGGCCGACTGCGCTGCTGATCCCTTCAGCGCATGGTTTGTCCACCGAGACTCTATAATGTTCGATTGATTAGTTACATCAAGAGACATCGAAAATCTTGGGTGTGTTGTGCATATTCGTTTGGTATCGGGTCATCGCGTCGTCAAAAACCCGCTACGTGGGGCAATATTTAGAGACGTGGCCTATATACTAAAAGCATTCGATATGTACCAACGGATTCAACTATCGTTACGATAGCGTAATTAGTCCACAGCATCCGCCTACAAGAAAACCATAATTTTCACGCGCAGTCCCGGCCTAATCGTCATCGTCATCGTCATCGCGTCATCGTCATCGTCATCATCATCGTCCACTGCTCTACTGACCGCCCAACGCTGAACGCCCCCCCCCGCTATACGCAATAGAGCTTCGTCCTGCTGAGAACCCGTATAATGTAGCGAGCGGGGCGGTGACGGGCCAATTGTTTTGCTGCTGCCTGTGGAAATAACTCTGCTCGCTGGTTTGACCGTTAAATACAATCTTTCCTTATCGGAAAAAAAACCGTTACGCGCTGAACGCGTGTGTAGAATTTTCGCGAGCGAACAGGACATTGGTGTATTGTGTGTGTGTTGTGTGTGTGTGTGTGTTGTTGTGTGTGTGTGTGTGTGTGTGTGTGACGAAGCGGAGAGAGAGAGGCAGCAGAGAAGAGAGGGGGCAAGAGAGAGAGAGAGAGCGAAGAAAGAGCGCGCAGCGTGTGTCTGTAATGTGTTTGTGTGTGTTGTGTGTGTGTGCCGCTCCGAAGCGCGCGCCTAATGTGTGCGTATTATGTTGTGAGAGAGCAGAGAGAGAGAGAGAGAGAGAGAGAGAGAGAGAGGAGCAGGGAGCGAGAGGAGAGAGAAAGAGCGCACGCGGGGCAAGTGAGTGTCTGTGTGGTGTGCGCCCGCGCGCAGCGTAGTGCGTATGTGTGTGTGTGTGTGAGGGAAGAGAGACGAGAGAGAGAAAGAGCGCAGCGGTGTCGTGTGTTTTGTGTATGTGTGTGTGTTTGTAGTGTGTGTATGCGTGTGCGTGTGGCGTGTGCGTTGTGCGCTCGTGCGTGTGCGTGTGCGTGTGCGTGTTGCGTGAGTGTGTGTGCGTGTGCGTGTGTGCGCGCCCCGGGGGCCCCCACGTGGTGGCTGTGCGTGCGTGTGCGGGTGTGCGTGTGCGTGTGCCGTGCGCTGCGTGCGTGCGTGCGCGTGCGGTGCGTGTGCGTTGCGTGCGTGCGTGCGTGAGAGATATATAGAGCGTAGGCGTGGCGCCGTAGTATACGCTCAGGAATGTCCATTCGCTGGCCCAGTACTCTTCCAGTACAGCAAACGCAAAGTTCTCTAGAAACTACATGGCCCGTTGTATTCCACAAAGAAAGTCTTGAGAGAAAGAAGAACGCAGTGCCTCTGTATTGTCATATCAACAATGCAATGATGTTTAAATCCCAACATCAGTAGAAAACAACCCACTACCAAGGAAATCTGCTCGGTCCAGTTTTGGCAGCTCGCCACCGCAGTTTGCCTCGCGCACTATGACACGAGTCCAAGGGGTCTATTATAAGTCTAAAATCATCTTTGCGTATTCAACCGCGATTCATTCACTGTTCAGAAAAATTATATACGGTTGTACAGATAAACAGAAGTTTTGTTTCAAGATTTCTTGTCTATGTTTTAAAAGTCTTAGACCTACTAAATTGTTTTCCAAGGCCAGACGATCCCGTACACATTTTGTCGTTATGTCCGCGCGGTAAGACATATCGTAGCATCACAAACATGCAAGACAATACATATCCAACGTAATATTAACTAATAGAACAAAGTTATTAATAACGTACGCTCGCGATGTGAAGGAGTTAGCCTGTTAACGGTACTATGTTTAGCAGTAGTTTAATATGTATTGTCTGCTAGCGTGAATCCGACATGTGAAGTACAAGATTGCTACAGCTTAAGGCTAACAGATGTTTTGCATAGCCTTTTGTGCACAAAATGTATCCTACCGCCGATCGCGCGCCGAGTTCCTCTCTTTTCACGGAGTGCGACAACATCATCCCATTTGCTTACTTGTCGGGCACACTGTCTAGAACCAACATTCTCCTGCCCTCGCGCCGGCATCCGTGCCGCCGAATATCGACCACCCTTGCCTACAGCAGGCGCAACCCACCACGAACGCACACGAGACGCACACGAGACGGTGCACACACACCTGGCCGTGCCGCGACGATGACAGCATGCAAAGGACACACCCACATGCAGCAAGGCACACACACCACAGCACAGACACACACACCACAGCACACACACACTACATCACACAGGGTCACACACACACCAAACACCCGACAGCACACGCTTCTATGCTGCCTCTCGGAGCTCCTCTTCACACGCTCAGCGCTTTTATACCTCTATAGATCACATGCCTTTTCCTCTCACAGCACCCGAATGCACCAGCATGCGTTGTACCGTGCAATAGACACTTAAACGAAGCGTTGAGCCGTACATTGAACTTTGCGTCTACCCGCTCGCGCCCCCCACCACAACCACCCCCTCCTTCACCCGAAAGAGTCGCTTTTTTCCGCCCTAAATATAATGAGTTTACTGGTATTCACGAGGCACGAACGAGGCGCGATAGAACTCCGCGCTGGATTTGTAGAACCATGCACCAACAGGACTATCCCGTCGGCTATCGATGATGATGATGATGATGAATTGATGATGTTTTGATGATGATGATGATTGATGATATGATTGTGATAGCGGCAGTCAGCTATTTGTAGAAAAAAAAGCACATCTCACTGAGTTTCTTCGGTTAGTTTGACTGCGTCAACACGCTGTCTCTGCCCAACGCAGGACATCATAAGTAAGATTATGAGTAACGGTTAAAGCAGAAGGAAGCTGGCGCAACCGACGGGATTTCCATCCTCTGACAGTGAGAACGAAAATGGATCTAGGGCATCGGCGGGTTACTACACGTGCATGAATAGTGTTTACATCTAGGTCAAGGGTAAACACCTTCATGCACTACCCAATAAATGAACTCTGCTCAATATGCATGAATATTGATACGGGAAGTCATAAAGAGACAGAACGAGCGCTATATATATATATATATATATATATATGAGGAGAGAGAGAGATATTGTTGATAGATAGATAGATAGATGGATAGATAGGTAGTTATAGGTAGATAGATAGATAGATAGATAGAATAGATAGATAAATAGATAGATAGATAGATAGATAGAGTGATAGTATAGAGTAGATAGATTTTTAGATAGATAGATAGATAGATAGATAGATAGATAGATAGATAGATAGATAGATAGAATAGATAGATAGATAGATAGATAGATAGATAGAATAGATAAATAGATCGATAGATAGAATAGATAGAATAGATAGATAAGATAGATAGAATAGATAGAATAGATAGATAGGATAGAATAGATAGATAGATAGATAGATAGATAGATAG